AAAATGATGCTGTTATCAACTTATCTTTATATATTTATTGTTAATAAATTTCATTTAAAATTTGGGTCGATCTATATCAAATACAATATAAATAAAAGTTTCAAGACTTGCAAAAAGTTCACAAAAAGTAATTAAACTTAAAAAATTTGTTTATAAAAATTTCGATATTTTTAATTAGATCTCCTAGAAAGATTTCGGGTATGCGGTTTTATAGCCCATTCAATTTCTGTACAGTAAAGTGCAAGTTTGAAGTCGCTTGGCAACGCTAGTACATGCATATATGTATATGTAGATACATATGTACATAAGTGGACTTCGTATTTTGAATATACATGCATTTGAAATTGGTGTATATGTACATATGTACATAAATGCAGTAAAATTTTGTCGGTGTAACAACACTATCAAGACTTAGGCAAGTTGCTTTGTCAAATTTTGAAGGCGCAGCAGTAATTAAACCATTTACGCTCGATTGCTGCCTACTTGAGATGCTCTAAGATGGTGCAATGCGGTACGGAAGTGTAAACATTTATGTATTTTGTCATTGCATCTCTGATAACCGCATTGCTAATTAGCAGAGTTATATATGTATGTAGATGCATCAACCCAAACTAAACAAAAGGTTGTAGTGGCAATTTAAGAAGATAAAGTAGTAGATACATACTGTGTCAAAAGCAAGATGCTTTCTTGTGCATGAGTAGAAGGTGTATATTTAGTACGTACATATATATTTACACTTACATATTTCGAAATATGGCAAATACATTTGCCCACAAATAGAAGTGCGATATTTTGACCAGTTTTAATTATTTTTCTTTATAAAATATCAGAGCTCGAAGATATAATAAAAATGTTCCCATGATAAAACTTATCGAAGGAGAAATAAAGTAGTACTAGGTCTTAATGGCTGGGCTTAGCGAGAAACGTTCACCACTGCGAAATAAAAATTCTAACTGGATCAAATCCCAGTGAAGAATTCTGATGAGGAGATGTGTGGTGATCTCCGAAATAGCAGCTAAAACTTCTACTATTTATAAATTATTGTTATTTTTCCACAATAATTTTTTATTAAAAACGGCCTCAATCTCAATAAAAATTGTTTAATGTGATTTTTAGGCTAAAAACTACAAACAAAAAAACAAACAGGAAATAAAAATAAATATCCTTCGCGTTTATACG